CTGTTTGGCTAGCCCATGCTTCCTGCTGTTTCTTGGGCTATCCCACCAACAGGCCAAGCTGAGCTACATTGTGTTCCCCAGTGATTACTCCTTTTCTTGGAGACCATAAAAGATGGTAGTGCAGCCCTGGTATTCCCATGACCCAACCTGTTCAGCTCTAGATTTGCTGGGTCCATCAGCGGTCCATTGTGCCTGCTTCTTTCCATCTCAAATGAGTGACAGGGGCTTTAGTGAGTGCCTGTGGTTTGGATTGGCTGGCCCCTCACATTGGCTCCTTGTGTTCAGGTGGCAGCAGCAAGCCATGGGGCTTTCTTGAAGTCTGAGCCAAAAGCTGCTGTGGCAACAACTGCACAGTCCAGTCACCCAGCATGTTGGCCTCAGTATTGGAGGCCTGTAGGGAAATGTGGACCAGGCTTCCTGTGTGGGAAGGCCATTGCTCCCTGCTCTCCCTCACTGCTCTTCGCAGGTATGTGTGGGCCTCCCTGTGCTGCATGTTCCTGAGGCCCCGACTGCTCACCTCCTCCTGAGGGCCAGTATCCCTCTCCCCGGGAAACTCTGGGAGCTGGCCCATTGTTGAGGAGGAAGGACCCTGTTAGGTGGCTGTTTAGAAATATTGTCTCTCTGTTACTGTCTTCCAGTTCAGCTCAGTAAAAGTGGAGATTTGCCTCCAAAGGGCAAATAAGGATAGCAGCTGCAAGTAGCCCTGCCCCTTCTTCAGGACCCTGGATGAGTGTTCTCCCTACCCCACCCTTGTACAGTAGTGGAGAGGGGCATGGGGGAGGAGTTGGAAGTCCAGGGAGCCCAACTGGGGGCAGCGATAGTCACTGTTTAGTTGTGTCTGCGAATGGGCATGGAGCTGCCCTGAATGTGGGCTCTCAGATTTTCCTGTGCCCTCTCAAGAGTGTGTTTAGGGTTCTCCACGTGAAGGGCACTCTGCGGTGGAACAGGCAGATCTCACCTGGCAGGAAGGAGGGTGATGGTTATCTGCCACAGGCTCAGCAAAGGCCCTAGACACCCACCCTTTGGTGGAGCATCAGCCCATGCCGAAGTGCCCCCGGAGATGCTGGGACTTGGGGCAGTGCTGTGTCTGCCCTCCTCCAGCAGAGGGGATGGAGGGCCCAGGGCATCTGGTCCCTACCTGCCTGAGCCTTATGGCCTGGAAGCAGCTCTAGGGAGGGGACCCATCAGTCGCTCTTCATGGGTTGTTTACTCACTGACCCTACTGAGGACCTCCTGTATACCCAGCACCAGGCACTGGGGCTCATCCAACTCATCTGGTCTAATGAAAAAAATGAACTTTAAATCGCTGGAATAATTGCTTAGTACTGAGGGCTAAGAGGGAGTCTGAGCAAGTGTCCTTTATCCTAAGAACCTAAGGATTCACCCAGGTAAAGACAGGTTGTGCAGGCTGAGCCCCTGAGATGGACAGCTGCCTGGTGTTATGACTGAGATGCGGCAGCCATGAGAGTATGTGTGGCAGAGCAGGCTTTGTGCTGTTCCTCCCTGGAAACAGAACGTACTAACATGAGGCTGGTGCAGAGCACTGCCAGGAGCCCCTGCGTGCTTAGAGAGGTCATGCAGACGGTAGAGTGCCCCTAAGCAGGGTCTGGTCCCTGGCTGGCCTGCAGGAACCCCCTTTCCTCATAGCAGATGGAGAAATCCAGTTTCTTTCAATTGTTTCCTTTTCTTCCCATGGCTGGGAGGCTGATGCTTGGTGTTGGGCCTGTTGTGGTTGCCCACCACCACTTTGTCAGTTGAAGGGAGGGTGGACCCTCTCTTTAAGGGCTAGGAAGGTCACCTCTAAGTGGCCTGGACAATTCCAGGGATTAGAGCTTGAGTGTGGCTTTTGGAGCCTGTCAAGGCCTGCTGGGAACAGGACTTCTAAAAGGACAAATATGTCTGAAAGGCTGTGGTCCAAGGCCATTTTTGCTGGCTGTAAGTGGGGTCTTCAGAACAAGAGGGGACATGCAGCTCTTCTTAAAATTAAAGGTGTTTATACTTGAGATGAAACTGAATTCTCTCTAGGCAAGAGATGTGCTATGTGTACAAGAAAGAACAACACAGTGACTCCTGGTGGCAAACAGAACAAAACCAGCGTAATCTGGGGAAAGATAACTCATGCTCATGGAAACAGTGGCATGGTTCATGCCAGATATCAAAGCAGCCTACCTGCTAAGGACATTGGACACAGAATCCATGTAATGCTGCATGCCTCAAGGATTTAAACATATTGAAAACGAAATAAATAAAAGTGGACTTGTTCTCTTGAAAAAAAAAATTATAGAGTCTGGCTCAGGATATGGAGGAAGGATTGGGTCTTTCTCTTTAAATCCCCCTGAGATATAGTGGTTCTGGACTAGGGTGTGGGGGCTCTTGACAGGGCCCACCTCCCTGAGCCAGGCTTTGAGTCCAGGGACCCTTAGAAGTTTGCTCCCTGGGGAGGGGGAAGATCCTTCTCCTTGGAAGGGAGGCCCAGAATGTTCTTCGTGGGAGGAACCAGGCAGTGAGAGGAGAGTGCGTACACTGACAGGTCTGAATGCTGTGGTGGTAGCATTGTTGGGATGGAGAAGGCAGTGTTGAGTGCTCTCGCTCTAATGCTTGTCCTTGGCCTCTAGCCCTGGCCCAGTGTATCCAACCTGGCCAAAGACTTCATTGACCGCCTGCTGACAGTGGACCCTGGCGCCCGTATGACTGCACTGCAGGCCCTGAGGCACCCGTGGGTGGTGAGCATGGCAGCCTCTTCGTCCATGAAGAATCTGCACCGCTCCATCTCCCAGAACCTCCTCAAACGCGCCTCTTCACGCTGCCAGAGCACCAAATCTGCCCAGTCTACACGTTCTAGCCGCTCTACACGCTCCAACAAGTCACGCCGTGTGCGAGAGCGGGAGTTGCGGGAGCTCAACCTGCGCTACCAGCAGCAGTACAATGGCTGAGCTGCCTGCCAGTGGTAGAGACATGGCATGGTTCCAGCCTGTCACACACTGCTGTGCCATCTGGGCCCTGTGCCCTCTCTGGTGATAGGCCTGTATGGCCAGTGGGAGGTGAATGGTCCCAGCCCCTTCTCTGTGCCTTCAGCAGTCCCCATCCTCACCTGGGCCTAGTGTGACAGAATGGAGCTGGGAGCCCCCTGAACTTGGAGCCTGGCCTGGCACTGATGTTCCTTTTGGTGGGTAATTGCTATGGTACAAGTTGGGGAAAAGGGTAGGACCCGGCCTTCATTCTCCTTCACCCCTTACCCTTGGCTCTTCCTCAGACCAAAAGGGCATGCAGTGCCAGGTAGAGGGTGTCATTGGGACAGTTATTTCTGGAACCCCCCTTTCCTCTACCTACCTTCCTGCCCGGCCCCCCACATTCCATGGCATTCTGATCTTCATGATTATACCCCAGTGAGAGGTCCAGGTAGGCACAAAGCCTGTGCCTTGGCTGGACTCTCAGCCCCTGGGTAAGTATAAGCAGCCCCCCACCTCCCAGCCAAGGTCTGTCTTCCTTCATGGAGACTCCAAGGACCACTCCTGGTCCTAGGACTTGCCAGGATCTCTGGTGGTAGGGCCATGGCATGGAATTGGGTCCTTCTGGACTGTGTGGCCCTATTGGTAGCAGGCGTGCTCTAGGCTCCAACCGCTCTGACTGTGCCTCCTCTGCAGAGCCAACCATTGTCTCCCTCTCCCCCTTGGATGCATAGTCTGTTCTCCAGGTGCCTCCTTCCCAACTGTGGGACATTAAAGGGAGCCCCACTGCTGCTACCTGGGTGATGGAGGCACCTGGGCCAAGGCAGAGGGCAGGGGCTTCCTAGGGAAAGCCCCATCAGGGCTCCAGTGCCAGCCCTGGTTCTACCCTTGGTACTTCCCATTGCCCTTTTCCTTTAGGCTCTGCTATTCCCTCCTCTGCAGCTGCATTAAGGCGCCATCTAGTGTCTGGCATGAGTATAGGCAGCCTAGGAATGACCACCATGTTCACCCTTCAGCCTTCAAGAGGAAGGAGCTGTTGCATTGAGGGAGGGTCTCTGGGCTGCTCTACACTCCCCTTCTGCTGAGCTTCTACGCAGCTCCCCCTGGAACTTAGCCAAACTGTGTGATCTGCCTCTGAACCCTGAGCGCCTGGGGCACTGGCCTTCTCACAGCTGGCCTTGCCCAGTGCAGCCTGTCCCCGCTTCCTTTCACAGCATTACCTTTCCAGTCTGAGCCCCACTGAATCTCAGGTTGGAGGGAGCCCCTGCGGGAGGTGAGTGGAATTAGGTGGCTGCTTTCCTAGACGCCTGAGCCAGACCATTCCCATGTCAGTCATTGTGCCTTCCCCCACCACAAACTGGGCTGGAACCCAAGCCCCCTCCATGCACAGCTGCTTTCAGTGTGTAGGGCCCAGCTTTAGCCTTAGCTAGACTGCAGGGCCCCTGCCAACAGGGAGGGTTTGGCCCTCACTCAGTTCCTCCCAGTGGTAGCCATGGGCCAGGCCCTCCTCTTTCTGCATGTGCCACCTCCAGTGGAATACCAAGCCAAAGAGATCATTCTGGGCCAAGTCGATTGTGCCTTATACACCCCCTCCTTCTGCCCCCAGTGCCCCTGGTTCAAGGCAGTGGAGAGCCCAAGCCCCATGGCCTCAGACCTCCCCTGACTTTCCCAAGTGCCTCTGGGGGCCTGAAGCCCTGGGGAATTATTTCCTCTTTTGCCCAGGATAGGCCTGGTCCTGAAGGTAGGACAGGAGTTTGGAGACGGGCCTTCATGCCATGGACTGTGGGTGGAGAATGTGCAGTTATTTATTTTGTGTACTCAATTTGTAAATGTATCCTCTGTACAATAAACAGGCTGCCCTCCTCAGGGAAGGCTGCCCATTCCAACAGCCCAGGCTCCTTTCTGTGGACCAAGGGGTCACCCAGGAGGAGGGACAGGGGGGCCCAGTCTGGGAAAATCCTGATCTCTCAACACTTGCCATGCCGAAAGACCACGTGGGGATAGACCTCTCCCCACCCCAGCCAGGAGGACAGACGAGATAACACAAGAGAACAGAGTTTGGAGTCTTTATTGGATTAAAGGGAAGTGGCCTGTGGGTAGGCTCAGTTTTGGGCTGTGACCTGGTTGATCCAGGTGCTGAACTTGCTCACCCGAGTATACATGGCAGGTGCGCGCACATTGCAGTTGCTGGTGCCCCAGGAGACAATGCCTGTAAGCACCCATGTGTTCCCTTTCTGGCAGACAAGAGGGCCTCCGGAGTCACCCTGAGGGAAGGAGAGGGGAGAAGTCAGCAGAGGAGGTGGGGGTGTGTGTATGTGTGTGTGTGTCAAAGGACAGTGCAGAGGACAGGACGGTGCTAGTGCTCACCTGACACGAGGAGGCCCCTGAGCCGCCTGCACAGATCATGGAGTCGGTGATGCGTGAGCCCCAGTACTGCTGGCACTGTCTCACAGTGACCAGGGGCAAGGCCACCTGCTGCAGGCGTGCTGGGGTCACATTGCCTGTGTGCCAGGAGGGGGTGGTTAGGCCCTAAGTGACTTGTCCCCACTCTAGCTCTCCCACCCAGATCTTTGGCCCAAGTTCCTACCTGTGCCACTGAGGCGGCCCCAGCCAGTGGTAACACACTTGATGCCTGTAGGCAACACCTCATTTGGGGAAGCCAGGCAAACTGGTGAGATGCGTGCTGTGTACTTGGCTGGGGAGGCAAGCTTCAGTAGTGTCAGGTCATTGTTGAAGGTGGTGGGGTTCCAATATGGATGTGTGATGGCCTGTGGAGCCAGAAAGGGCCATATTGGATGGGGTGAGCACAGGCCCCCAGAGTTGATGGGTGCTGAGGGGGCTAGGCCAGGGAAGGCCCTGAATTCTTCATCCCCAGAGCCCACCCACCTGTACTGCTCACTCTTCCTTCCCCAGTCTGCAACCCAGGGACTCACCCGCGCGATGGACATAACTTGCAAAGGCTCAGAGTTGGATGATCGGTCGTACTCGCCCAGGACAACAACATGACGGCCAGGGCTGCAGTGAGAGTGGGGTTAAGCAGCCACAGGGAGGGCAAAGCAATAAGAGAGGGGCATCTAGAGGAAGGAAGTGGGGAGAGGTGGGC